TGAAAATGGTAGCAGCGAGTGACACCCAAGATCTCTGCGTGTTCACACATGGGCTGCTGAGGCTGTACTAAACATTCACATGGGATTCTGCTATGAACTGATTTCTGGTGTTGCTGTTCTCCCCTTAGGTGGAGGAGAATGAGATTGAATGCTGACTATAGGCCTGGCTGAGAAACATACTGTCATCGGTGCCTTAGTTGGCTGTTGTGTCCCTGAAAGCCAGTGGCCTTTGACCCCTGAAGCCACTGTGCCTGAAGGTCAGTTCACTGGTAGTACAGGAAGGAGTTCTAACTTGAAAGTTAAATCCCTCACTTAACCTTTTTTGTTTGTTTGTTTACAGCAAGAAATCCAGAACACAGATGCCAGGCTCTGCCTGCAGCTGTGGAAGTATCAAGGCATAGTTTTGAAAGAGGATCTCAGTCTGATAAAGCCCAGTCATGCATCTTGAATCACATTTGCCAGTTTAAATCCAGCCTTACAAGAACTTAGCTTTCATTTCTGATCTGTGCAAATATGTGCTTAGGTTTGTGGTTCTTAAAAACGCAGATTTTGGTTTTCATCATCCTCTGTTGACACGTCGTTTTTTTTTTTTTTAAGCCTAAATTAATAAGCCAGTTGACCTTTGAATGAATTGGTTACGTGCCTACTGGGCAAACTATTACATTTGCTGTGCAGAGTTACTTTTGGCTGCTGTTCCCGGAGTATGCCAATAAAAGCTTCACGAAAAGTCAAGTTTTCTGTCTCCTCCTGTGCAGATATGTCCAGTTGTCTCGGACAAAATGACCTGGTTTAGTTTTGTCTGTGCTCTGAGCTGGCTAGATGTGTGGCAAAACCAGCGTAGCTGTATTGTGTCTGAATCAGTAAACCCAGGCTGCTAGTGGGTTACATGAGTATCATGTGGGATAAACTTAATGGAACAGTGGGATGTGTGCTAATGGTACATTAACATGCTGTCTGCTTTTTAATTGTTGCCTTAAACTCAGGCAGCTCCAACCATGTTTCCTGATAATGTGGCTTTAAATTTCAATGCTGAATGGTGGCATTTGCAGGACTTCTTAGCAGACCTGCTGGTTCTGTTGATGGCAAGTCTGTTACCTACTAACCTGGGGTTCAAGGGACTAAAAGCAGTAATATTTTACCTTGGCTATTGATGAGTTGAGGGTCTCATTGTACCTCTGTGCTCTGTCTTTCTCTTACAGGAGCTTTATTGCAGAAATGAACATTTATGTGAAGCAGCTGGGCAGAAGTAAGTGTTCCTATTTATTTTTTATCTCAGCAAGGGATGAGTGTTGGCACAGAGGAGTAGGCCACAGGCATGGCTGCAGACTGTTATAGTTGTGTGTTGGAGCCACTTACAGATGTGAAGGTTCATGCTTGTTTCCTGAGGTGAAATCCTTTTTCTGTGTGCTGTGCCTGTCGCGTTCTACTGCTCGTCCATTACACGCTTCCACTAATCTTTCTTCTCAGCCCAAAGAAATGCTTGTGGATATGGTAGGTTTTGTTTGCGTTAATTACTTTTTCGTGGTCTGCCATACCCATTTACGTAGCGCTTGCTGTGAAATCTGTATGGTGTGGTTGGGTGCTATAGGATAAATCATACTTCCTTAGACACTGCATGCAGGAAAAACTTCACAGGAGCTCCCCAGGAAGTCAGTGAGGAAGACTACATGCCTATTGTGAGTCAGCTGATGAATGGGCCTGGTTGGATTTTATGTTGGAGCTCTGGATTTACCAAGATTTGAGACCCTTTCCATAACACCCGGCGTGTGTGAACAATGACAAATCCCATTTCTGAGGAGTATCTTCTGTGGAAGCTATTTGCCTCATTAGCTACTACAGCTCTGAACTTTGTGTGCTGCAGGGATTTTCGGTCGTGAGCATGGATCAAACAAAAAGCTGGCAGCACAGTCCTGTGCCCTTTCCTTGGTTAGACAGCTCTACCATCTTGGTGTCATAGAACCTTACTCTGGACAGACAAAGAAGAAAGGAGAAGCGGTGAGTTGGGTAGAACAGTCAAAAATTGCTGCTTTCATTTTAATAACACACAGCACTCTCTTATACAGGTGAGTGAGTTAGAGTTTGCTCTCAATGTTCAACAACTAACGAGTTTGTAATGATTTTGATTCTTTAGATCAGCAACTGTTTCTGGTCTGGCCAGTGATTTGGATCAGAAATAGAACATTGTGTGTATGTGAACGGAGTAGTAAACTAGTTTTACAGTGCATTAAATTAAATAGGATTTGAACAAATGTTGTTTTCAGTATAAATTTTCTAGAAGCTTAAAGATTTATGTTTGTGACATACAATTCTTGGCTATTGTTTCATTCGCTGGCATGTTAGCATTTCTTTGGTATTCGTTACAAGTTTGGGGATGTTCTCCTCTGAAATGAAACTCAGATACTTAAAAGTGTTCTGCAGATTCTTGTCAGATGAAAAAATTGGCAAAATGTTTCAAGAATGTGACTTTTGACCTGATGGTACTCTTTGGCCTTGTTCCACTAGGAACTGTTTGATGGCTCAGTGTACTCTCTGGTAGCCTGCAGCTCTGGCTTCCGTTGTCAGTCTTTTTGTGTGTATCAACATGTAGTTTTTAAACATTTAATAGGTGGAACCTTATGAGGTGTCGCTGTCTTCTGACTTAGAAAATCAGCTGCAAAACACAGTACGGGAACTGTCTCTGGAGATTGTGCCTGTGGTGAGTGTGTGGTTCAGACACTCCAGTATTTAACATCAGGCCTGCTTGTTTCATACTTCTATCTTTCTTTGCCCACTTGACTTTTGGATTTATAGCCTGAAGATCCCAGTGATCCAGTTCTGATTAACGTTGGAAAGTTGGCCCATTTTGAACCATCGCAGAGACAAAGTCATACGGGAGTTGTTCCATGGTCACCACCTCATTCCAACTGGAACCCTTGGACCGGCTGCAACATTGATGAGGGTCCTCTGGCAAATGTAAGATAGCTTAAGTAACTGAGGAGTTGTTTGTTTTCCCCGTGCTTCTGGAACTTTTAAATGCTTTTTTCCCCCAGGATTTGAAGTATGAGCTATTTCAAAGGAGAAAACAGTCCACTAATAAAATTTCTTCCCTTCTTGACCTAGAGCAAGGGGGTCTTTTCGTTGGTAGGAGTTCTTTGTATTTAATTCATGTTTTATTAGGTTCTTGAGCAGCAATGTCTTGGATGTCCCAATTCTTTGCCTTGTTTCACTTTTTGCCTGCTATTGCCCATGCAAAGTTGTAATGGAAATTACAAGCTAAGCCTAAAGACATGTCACTTACAATTCACTAGCCTCTCATATTTCCAAGGCAGGACTTTCTTTTCTGGGAGGAGAAACTGCTCCAAGCACATGTCAGTACACAATCAGCCTGCTTGCTTTGTTTTAATTTCTAGTCCCATTCACCACTGAACAAATGAAGAGCAGCAATGTGGATGATAAAATGAGGAAGGAGGGAAGAAATACTTGGTTGCCAAGTTCAGAGGCATAATTTGGCCACTGATACAACCTTGTCAGAAAAGACCTCAGGGCAGGAACTTCAGTTTCCCACAACAGGGAACCAGAATACTTATGACCAAAACAGTAATTTCATTCTACTTTTGACTGCAGGATTTTTTCATAAATGTCATTACTTTAACACTGATCATTATATATTGATTTTAAAAAGATGGAATTGTTGTAAATTTGAATGTTGCTGCTTAAACCACATAATCAGTATATTTATGGACATTGCAAATTGAGCTGGCTTCAAATCTCATTAGGATTTCTGTGTGCCAGTTGTGGTGTAGCTGACTCAGTTTCTGTAAAGCCAATCAGCCCTTGTGTAAGAAATTTGAATCTCTTTAGAATTCTCTCTTAGTTGAAGTACGATGGTTGCCTGATAACTTTCCCTCTCTGCTCACTTTTCCCTTTTCAGCTACTGTTCTGTGGGTGCTTATGTGCTTACATTATCTCATTCCGTACATTAATAACTCCTGTGTGAATGATCATCTGAGTATCTCATTGGCTTCCTTCTTT